TTATGGAACATTAGTAGAAATTTTCTGGATACTATTCACTAAACCTTACTGGAAAGTAGACCAGCCCTAACAACGCACAGACAGCTACTTCAGACCATTGCTTTCAGTCATTTGCATTCATTTTTTTGTGAATGCGTTTTCATATAGGTATGTAAAAAGAAGAAAATTTATTAATATAGACCTTATGTTTAATTTCTTATTTTCCTCATAATGTCTCCACAGAACTACAGTTCTCTGTCATTCTCTGGTCAACAATTCTTAACTTACTTGATAAGAGACGTTAAGACATAGACATAATTTGTAGGGAGTTTTTAACCTGCAAATTTGTTTTACAGTGCGAGGTATTCTCTTTTGGCAGATACTTGTTTGTCATCAAATGAAAACAGAATTGTGCTGCAAATTAAATTAATTTCAGATGCCGTTTTAAAAAGTGTTAGATTAATTTATAAAAAAAGTCACCTTTTTCTTGTAATCCATCACTTCAATATTTTCACCAAAATAGGAGAAACCAGCCGCTGAAGTTACCAAGTGAATGAGCGTGGAAAGTTCAAACGGATGTTTAAGTCATGTACTCCTAGAACAGCACCTTATGCAGCTATATTTTTTTATTATCCATTATGGACTTGGGAAAAAGAGTGAGAACATTAAGGCAGAGTAAAAGTCATGCTTGCAAAAGGTAGGCAGCTTCAGGAATAACTATTTCCCACGAAATTATTTTCTATGTTCATCCTGGTGCTAGTGGGCCAGAACATTTTTAATTCTGTCCTTCCAGCTAAGTGGCAATGAGCAGCAGACACACTCGACAGCAGTATCTGATTAAGTGCATCAGTCAACACAGGTCCAATTTTAGCTTCATTCTGCATTAGTGGTGTGGCTCTGCTATTTGATACTTCGTGTCTTTGACTACAGGAATGTTAAAGTTAAACAAAGCTTGCGAAGTTGTAAGCTTGCTTTCTCTGTGCTTGTTTTTGTTGGGGCTTGAGGGTTGTCACGGTGGGGAAGTATGTGATTAAACAGCTGTGATAGTTTCCTGTGTGAACACATTTAGCTTAGCTGGTTTCAGAAATGCTTGTAAAAAGAGCTAGTTTGGTTGCCTGTTCTCTTTTAAATTCATGTCCTTTCTTCCTTGTTTCATGACAGTTTTTCTGTGTAGTGTGTGAGCCCTTACTTCTGTGTTGTCAGCGTGCAAGCTCAGTACCGTTACATATGTTTGTAACATGATTGTATATATAAGAACATTCTATTATGTAAATAATTTCTTGTGGTTTTGGTTTGACTAAGCTGCCTTAGTTATTTCAGGAGAAGTAGACAGAAGAGGGGAAGGGATCTCCCTATTCCCTGTGTTTAAGTTTTGTAAATAATTAGTAAATCAGGTATTAAGAGTTGCTATCCTCCTTAATGAGCGAAAGAGGAAGAGGTCCCGCCTTCTTTACCCAGAAGTGTAGTGGTTAGAGCGCTGTCCTGGGAAATCCCGATTTTCTTTATTAGATCTAGCTCAAAGCTGATCAGATAATAATGACTTTCATAAAACTTCTCCTGCACTATCCTTTTAATTCCTATTAGATGGGTCACTCCTTAGCCTTTGCTTTATTTAGTCTATGCTTAGACTTGTGGTACTAGGTGAATGCTACTAATGATGATTTCATATGTTTATTCATCTCCTCTTGTACAATGACTCTGTTAAACACTGCTTATTAACCTTTTGAAGAACACACCCCAAAACTACAGTCCTTTTTTTAACACCTAAACTAAAGACACATCTTAGAACAAAGACAGAGTTAAGCTTATAGGAAAAATCATAATATAGCAAGTTCTTAACAGTGTGGATTTATTAGTCCAGCATCCCTAGCATCATTCATACCTCATATCTGGAGATACAGCATTTTGGCTGTGAATAATACAGGGCGGTAAAAATGAAAGAGCTGTTGCGCGGAGAGATGGGAGATGAGGACAGAAAGTGAAGACATAAAGCAGTACCACTGTATTCTGTCTGACAACCCTCAGTCATAGGCTGCATTCTTCTGAGAATTTCCGGACATTTTCACCTTGCTTCTTCAAATCCCTGTGTATCTCCAAAGGTGTTGAAAGGTGGCTATGTGCGCTTAGCACCTGGCTCAGGGCAATCCCAACCAAGAGTACAGGCTGGACTGGATGATGAGTGGATTGAGAGCTGCACTGAAGAAAAGGACTTGGGGATACTGGTTGATGAGCCGGCAAGGTGCGCTAGCAGCACAAGAAGCCAGCTGTGTCCTGGGCTGCATTAAAAGAAATGTGGCCAGTAGGTCCAGGAAGATGATTCTGCCCCTCTGCTCTCATCTTGCAAGGCCCCATCTGGAATACTGTGTCCAGCCTTGGAGCCTTCAGCACAAGAAGGATGTGGACCTGTTGGAGTAGGTCCAGAGGAGGCACCTCTCCTATGAGGACAGGCTAAGAGAGGTGAGGCTGTTCAGCCTGGAGAAGAGAAGGCTCTGGGGAGACCTTAGAGCAGCCTCCCAGTGCCTGAAGGAAGGCTGGAGAGGGACGTTTTACAAGGGCAGATGGTGATAAGACAGAGAGGGGGTGATGGTTTTAAACTAGAGCAGGGTAAGTTTAGATTAGATGCCAGGAAGTTCTTTACCGTGGGGCAAGTGAGGCACTGGCATAGGTTGTCCAGAGACCTGTGGAAGCCCCCTCCCTGGAAGCGTTCTAGGCCAGGTTGCACGGGGCTGTGAGCAACCTCATGGCAGGGGGTTGGAACCAGATGATCTTCTTGATCCCTTCCAACTCAAACCTGTGATTCTAGGAAATTGTGATATAGTTTTTTTATCACCTAATGCAAAAAGGAATTGATTTGCTAAAAGAGCGAATATAACTTTTGTTCTGTCCTCAGAAGCCATGCAGCTTTAATCTCTATTGGAGAAATTGTACAACGCTGCTTTCATCATGTATAGTTGAGACTTAGAGTTATCTTAAGATATTTCCTTGCAGCTGAAAGCTAAGAGTCCTGTATATTGTTGAATTAGTCAAGTAGGATTTGTTTGCATAGTTTCAGGTTTCAGTAAAACCAAATTTGATTTAGATTTTTAAAAAACACCATTATACTGAAATGTGTCATCCATTCCTAACCAGAAATTGAACAAACATTATCTACACCTTTTCTTCTGGTGATATGGCTGGATATCACATATGACTAATGGAACATCATATGTGACATTTTTGACAGAATCATATTTTCTGATAAAAGGCTCACATCTGCAAAATTATTTCCCACAACAGAGAAAAACTCATGAGTATTACTGCTTGAATTTCATGCAATTTATTAGCTGAATCTCTTACGAACCTTCTTTTTACTCAGTCTTAGACTATCCTGTGTTTACTTTCAGCACTACCTTAATTTCTGTTCCTAAGAACTTCACCACTATACCTGCCTATTTTACATCTTTCTCAGAAATACATAGAAAACCTCAAGTTTCAAATACCTATTTTCTCTCTTCTAACACTTGTGGAACGTGCTGCTATCAGCAGCTCTGATGGCAGAGTATAGGCAGGTAGGCTTTTCCCAGACAGTGCTATATGTAGCTAGGTCTCAGACCATCGATCAGTTCTGGGTTATTCCTAAACTGGTGGGCTCATGGTGAAGATTTCAGCTCTTGGATGACAGAGTGCCTGGGATTTCTCAGCAAATCTGAAATCGATTGGAACACTTTTCTCTCTTAAGATAAAAGCCAGATAAGATTATTTTACTTCAGAATCAAAAGCTTAACAGAGAGCAATCATCATGTGGGGAGACATAAAAGCAGTAGAACCACACTTTATAGCTGCTTGTATATTAATATAGCTCGAAGAAGTTCTTGATCTCTGTTTCATCTAATAAGAAAAGCTGCCAGGAGACTTAACACAGTGGGGATCCGGTCCTTTGATGGCACCCTGCCTGGTTAGAAACCTGCACTGGAAGGTATCGGTCACTGAGGAAGAAGCTTTGTCTGAAGAATCCTCTTGCTATCTGGCATTAATTTTCACAACTTGAATGTCATCTGAGATTTTTCTGCGGTACATAGCCTCATGCTTAACTAGGACTCCAAACTTTTCCCTGATGGTTGTTCACTATTGCTGTCTGTATGGCTTTAAACATTTTTACCCTCAGTGCTGTCATGTGTCCAGACAATAAACAAAACTCTGTGCTAGATGTGAATACAAAGTCTGCCAGCTGGTGTGATATTTTATTTATCCATAAACAAATCACTTTACCAGCAGTCTGAACAATTATTTTTTTTGTTCAGATAGCTGTGGGGAAGATTTTTCTCAGCACAAAACCCTTAATAAAAATTTAGATACCAAGAACTGCGCTTCATATAAAAAAGACTTTTGAAAACCATGCAAATGTACAAGAGAGACTAACGAATGCAGCTCATATAGCCCCTCATAGAGGTGACTGTTGCAGTAACCAAGGTTTAGGGAGACAGCAGGAGTGGCGCTGCAGCTTGGGTTAGTGGGCTTAGGGTGGAGGTTATAGCAGTGATAGTCCATTTCCCTTCCTTAAAATGCTAGTTAACTGTCTCCTGCCACACAGTCATGGGGTAATGCTGGACAGGCTATGAGCATTTTGAGGCAAGAGCTGTCTTTCTGCCCCCTAAAATGCCCCAACTGGAATAACAACATCCCCTTCCATGAGTGAGATGCTGAAGGACTACTGCACTTCTGATCCTTCATAGGACTCAGGGAAATCCCAGCACTGTGGAAGTGTGTCTCTGGCTTCTGAGCTGGCAAATTCCACCACTGGCTGTCAGACTGGTGTCTTTCACTTCTTTTTCAGACGGGGGGGTATTTACATCCCTGGTATTTCCCTGGTAGCACAGTCAGCTGGTGCTTGAAGGTCAGATGGATGGAGGGCAGTTAACGGCACTGAGCGCAGTGCCAGGTTGCTAACAACTCTGAGAGCAAAGACTTCTTCCTGAAAGACTTTAGATGCTCAGATCCCAAAATTACAGTGAAATGCCAAGTGTCTCTCCTGTCAGTTAGGCATGACAGCATCTGAGGAGCCTGCAGCTGTCTGCCTGGCTGGTATTGAGATGACACCTGCTGGTGATCGCTCCCTGCTCTTCAGGGATATTTTCGGTGCACACAACAAACTGTTCGTGGATGTGCCAAAGCACTGGGCGTAACTCTCGTCCTGCTGTGAGACTGAGGGCTGCCTGTGGAGAAAACCTATCCCTTATCTTAAAATATGAACTGGTGTCACTTGAGAGTTTAGAACCAAACTGCAGAAGAGAAATTCATTGAAAATGGCATCCCAAATTAGTATTTTTTAGGTTGACTTTGTCTCACACCTTCATCCCTGGCATTTGAGTAGGGGTAACTTTTGGATGAAGGTTTTACCCACCTAGCGGGGCATTCAGAACTTTGCTGGGCAGGGCACTTCACAGGCTGGTGTCACTTTGGAGTTGGCCCTCGTGTAAGTCAGGTGGGTGGCAGCCAGAAGACACTTCCAACCTCTGTGATGCTACCATTCTGTCTGCAAGTGTTACAGCCATTTTCAAGCTTGAAAATATTTTTACCTCAGCGTGGCTTCTTGTTCTTCCAGATACCCTCAGCTCTTTCAAACAGCAGCAACGCTGGAGGGAGAGATGGGAACCGAATCATACATCTGTCAGAAAGGTTTCTCGGCGCTCTGTCAGCAAGGAGCGATGGGTAGAGACGCTTGTGGTTGCAGACAGTAAGATGGTTGAATATCATGGAAGTGACCATGTGGAATCATATATCCTCACTATAATGAATATGGTATGTAGAATATTATTTTTTTAGATAGACAAATTAAGCAAATTTTAACTTGATTATGTTACTGGTCACCTTGAAACAAGTCTGTAACATTGTTCACTGAAAGAAATGTCATGTCGTTCATATATATATTCATTAAGACTCTGTATTTTAAAGCATTTTTTACCTTTTATTTTGCAGTATAGAGATGTAATTTTTCTCTGGATTTTAAATGAGAGAGTTTCATAGCTGTAAATGCTAGCACTCATTTTCTTTCCACTGAAATTCCCTGTTTTCCCTGGAACCCATTGCTTATTGGTGATTTCAGATTCATCTCTACAGCAACAGGGAGAAATTCTACAGTTTTAAGCATGTATATTCTTTCCCATGTCTGTAGAAGAGAAAAGCACATAGGAGCCTACAGGAAATTGTAGTAACTTAGCAAAAGCTACAATACCAGTGTATTAGTGTTTCGATCACAAATCCAAGCAGCACTGCATGAGCTGTTATGAAGGGAGTTAACTCTATCCCAGTTAAAACAAGTAGAATTGTTTTTGCAGACAGGTCTCTTGCACATAATGCAAAGTCCGTGTTGAAAACCCCAAAGTATTTAACTTCCAATGTTTTCCTGCATGGCAGGTTTGAAAATGTAAGTTGACCTGCAAAAAGCAATAGTGTTTCATGAGACTGCCTGAGATATGTCTTCTGCTATTGCCTGTATTTACAGTAGATACTGACCTTGGAGAGTCTGTTAAGGATGTCTTCTTTGTTGTTATCATGGTACATGTGTAGTATATGGGAAATTAATCACAGCGTATTTCTAGCCATGGTAACCAATCTGTCCCTTACGTTTATACAGTGTGTTCTCAACTGTGCCCTGAGCAGTCTGACTAGCTAGTGAGGTAATGAGCCTGATTAAACAGACAGAAAGCTGATATGGGCACGTGAGGTTTTGTCCACACGTGAAAAATATATGGAAAAAAAAGCCCTATCATGATGAGATTCAGGAAGAAGACAAGCCTCAGCATCTTCTCTGCAGTCTGTACCTGAGGTGTTTGGGTTAGTCCCAACGATTCAGTTTCAAGTCTAATACCTTGAAGAAGATCCATATCAAAATCAGACCTCTGGAAACATATTTTCCACTTCATTTTAGTAATTTCTTCTATAACAAGCTTTTGCAGGACAGTTTCAACCCAAACACAATCTATTTTGTCCATTCGTATTTCTTGTGGTACATGACATAGTTCACATACAGACAGGTTATGGCTCTTCTGTTCCTATTCCCTTTCCTCCTGCCTAATTCAACACTGTGATGATGTTTGTGACATTTGGGTCAAGTTGTTGCTGAGTTCAGTTCATGCTGGGGGTTTTATGGATTTTTTTTAAAAATTGATTCCTTATTTTTGCTTTTGTTCTTACCATTCTCTTCTGTGCTGTATAAACACAAGCATATCCATCATTTAACTGATTTCTCTTTTCCTAGTACTAATTTTTGCTTTGTTGTGGCAGAAGCCGATTCCCATCAAATCCAAACAGAGCAGTTTGATACACTGGGGTTTCTTTTGGCACAGCGAGTGGATCTCTCCACCAGTGTGACGTGACTCTAGATGTTGCGTTCTTCTCTGCTAGTGGTTTTTAAGATCACTGGAGTTCTTGTAAGGGGAATGGCCATAAAATAATCTTGTGTGTACTTGTGCTCTTTAGCATTAGTAAATTTTGCCAAATCCTGTATCATCACTCATTTACCAGCACTGCCCTTAGCAGTGGTTCCAACAGTTGTTGCGTTTCAGTAAACTTTTGGTGAAATGCACTGAGGATTTAAAAGACCCCAACCCATCATCCCAAGAAGAACAGTGTGCTTGAAGTAAATATTGTAGTTTCTCTCTGAAGTCCTCTTCTGCTGTAGAGGAATCAGTTAATCTCGTACCTCCTGGCTCTGGCACAGGTTGCAGGGTTGTTCCACGATCCAAGCATTGGCAACGCGATTCACATTGTGCTGGTCCGGCTCATCCTCTTTGAGGAGGAGGAGGTAAGGATTTTATTTGCTACAAAATGTCACTTATAACATTTGGGAGTTCAATGCGTTGTTCAATGCATGATTATGGAGATCATGCAGTAGAATGCATTCATTCTACTCTTAAATTAACCATTGACTTGTGTGTTTTAGAATAAAAGCTACCGTGCATAGCAAAATATTTAGCTGATTCCTTCAGGTATTTTTGCATAAAATTTCCAAGGAAAATATGATCGAAACAGGCAAATTAGGAATACAGAAATGAAATCTCACCCCTATAAAAAGAGTATGGGATGCCAAGGAAGACTAAATGAGGAACAGGAATTAATGTGTGCATTGTCACTTGGTATCTAATTACCTAGCATTAACTGAAATGTGTTACAAAGTGTAATACTAGAGTAATTGCAGATCTGTGAAGAAGTAATTCTATTATTGTGCAGCTCAAACATATGATTTTATTTTTAGATCTCTTTCAAAGCAAATAAATCAGGACAAATTAGATGCCAATTGCTGTAAACTGACTATATATTGGTAGTTTCCAATGTCTGTCATTCACAAATATGTTGATACCTGCCTAAATACATGGTGATTGTCATAATTTTATAGTTACTTTTAAAATGCTGTGAAAGACACAGCTTGCTCTGACTGCAGGAACTCATTAAGGGGATTTTCTCAGTGTTTTCTAATTTATGACCACAAATCAGATGCTCACAATGCTATAAAAGGCAGAGAACCAAGCCATGGGGTGAGGCTCAGTCTTCTGAAAGAGTTCTTACGATAGAATCTATCCTTACAGTAGTTCGTATCTTAACAGAACAATTAGTACCTGAGACACATCGTGACCACCAATTAAGTTTGTTTGCTAAATTTCTGTGGCTGTTTTGATTCCTGTTCAGTTGAGCATGGCAATGTTAGGAGCAGCAGTCTTGTGTATCTTTCAAAATTTGATTTTAAGCATTACTTAAATAGAGTAAACAGAGAGGAGATACAGTGAACGCCCAAGACCAGAAACAAGAAAATGTATTTTTGAATGAATTTGTTTTGCATACTTCATATTTCAGAAGAAATTTCAGTAACTCACAATATAATAATAAGATGAGGAAGAAACATCTGTGACTGCATTGTTTCTCTTTGGAGTTGAAAAATTTTGTGAAATAAATACATTCTTAGAAGTGTAATTGTTCTCGGAGCCTGTCATTCGCATAAATCTGAGTGACAAACTTGAGAACAAAGTCCCATACTAATTAGTCTTTACCTTCGCTATAGAAGAAAACTTGCTTTCAAGAGAATATGAACTGTTTGCTTGAAGATTTCGATTCAGTGGATCTTATGATGCTTACAAAAAATTTGTAGTTTTCTGCATTTAGATTTTTCTTTAGCTGCATCAGTTACAAAAATGTCAAGATTTTAGCTTAGTGTTCAGTCTGTTAGATGTCATTGTTCCTAATGGTGACTCTAGCTTTAGGCAAAAGCATAATCAATTACATTTCAAAGATCTTCCAGTGTCACAGGTGACATCGTTGACATCTTATTGCAGTGCGGTGTGGTCTTCATGATAATATTTTCCTTCATTTCCCATTAGCAAGGCTTGAAGATCGTTCACCATGCTGATAAGACACTAGCCAGCTTCTGCAAATGGCAGAAGAGTGTCAACCCCAAGAGTGACGTCAACCCTACACACCACGATGTGGCTGTCCTCCTAACCAGGTATGACAGCAGCTCAGCAGCTTTGACTGACCATTATTCAATTGTGTTTTTCTCGTGATGATATTTTTATATAGGCTTGTGCCATCACTTAGGTCATCCTCCATAGAACCTGTAATGTGATCGGATAAACACGTGCTGCTTCTGAAACAGTGTTAATGTAAAAAATAACCTAGTGTGAGCGTGTCTGATGCTCATACAGGCAGGGAATATGAGCTGTGTTATAGAAATGTGGTTGAAGTTAGACTTGCTGTACCTTTTAAAGGGATTGGTTTTCATGTATTTTTAAAGTGTGCATAACACTTCATGTATGCATATGGGTGTTTTGTTAGAGATGCATCTTAGTTAGGAATGTCCTGAGAGACTAGCAATTTGCAGAGCTCAGGTTATTTTTCCCACTTGGTCCTATCTCATTTTGTTCTCAGTCACTTCTCTATTCTTTGAGGCAATATAGCAAAACAACATAGCACATGGATGAACAGCTCCATAATGGCAAATCTGAAAGTGCAGCTCAGAATGGAAGAGTATTTTGCAAACGCCATGCCATTAATTTTTAAGCTTTGAAGTGTATCTTTTTAAAATATTATCTCCGTATTTAAGGAAACACAAAATGTGGTTTCATGTGTGAGCAAGGGAGTCACAGAAAACTGAAAGGTGATGTCTGAGATTACACAGGAGGTTTGTGATAGGGCATGAAACAGAACTTCTGCAGGTCCATAAACACTAGTCCAGTCTGCACACAACTGAGAGAAGATAGTATCTAATGTCTGCAAAAAACGTTACAAGTTAAAATCTGTCATACAAAAAAAAACCCACAAAAAACCCCTTAAGTGGTACCCCAAAGAGAGTCAACAAATCTTAAAATAAGAATCTCACAATGATGCATGGTTTACTTCTTTGAGGAAACAGGCTTCAAACAATTCACTGGAATGAAGCTGAGCTAGTAAACCATACCTCGAAGTGCTGTCAAAGGCGGGTGGAGCTTTTAAAACCTTTTTTTATGCAGGTTGTCAATAAAATTATGTATTTAGTCACTACAGCTACATATATACTGGCTACAGTTTATAGCAGTATCATATGATAGCCGCATAACAAGTGCATGCTGTTGTTGCGTATATTTTTGTGAAAATGTTAGCACCGTCATCTTTTGTTTAAAATGCATATGAGCATTGATATATTATGGGATGGAGACATATCATCCAGTGCAAGTGACACTCTATGGTTGGTTTTAAGGTCTTTTAATGGCATGTCTGTTTTTTGATTCTAGAAAGGACATTTGTGCTGGCATGAATCGTCCCTGTGAAACCTTAGGTTTATCTCATCTGTCAGGCATGTGTCAGCCTCACAGAAGCTGTAATATAAATGAGGATTCTGGCCTTCCATTGGCTTTCACTATTGCTCATGAACTTGGACACAGGTATAGTTGAAAATGAAGGGGGGACATAACTGAGTTTAATTTATTATTATTTATTAATTATTATTTGTGTGCTAATACTCAATACTCTCATATCAATACTCAAATATCAGATTTTTATTCTCCTTTCTGACAAATAGATTTCTGACAAATAAATAAAATTACTTTGGGGAATTTCTTAATAACTAATATCTTCTGTATATTAATATTTCTGTTGTGGATACGCTTAGGTCCAGTCCTAACTAAACACCTAAAGTTCCTGGGCATTTCATTTTGGACTTGGGTAAATGTTTTTATGACTAGATATTTTTGCATGAAACTATATTTTTTTCAGTATTTCCAGTTTCTAAGAGTGTTTTGGCTGGTTAGTTGGTTTATCAAGCTTATCTGAAAAAATTCTGATTTTTTAATCTGTTTTGACAATGAGGTCTTTTACCCAGGTTACAGGCTTATCTCATGGGTTCTGTGATTTGGCTCTAAAGGCTGTTTTTTTCCGCTGGACCATGTTGCTTGGCTAGGGGACGTGTTCACTGCTGTACCTACAATCACATTACTTTCATTATCCACCCAGTCACCAGTCAGGGTGAAGTCTGTATTTCCTGATGGGGTATGGTAATAACAAGAACAGTAATCCGATACAAAGATTACTGAAGTATTGATCCTATCATCCATTAATTGACCTTTCTTTATTAAACCCTTCAACTACCAGAAAGCAAATAGTATAAGTAAATAATGCTGAAATCATTAGAATTGGATGCTTTAGGTTTAGTTACTTGCATTCCACAACCTTTTGCTGACAGAGAGCTTTTTTCATTAACACTAATTATCACAAGACACTTTTTCCTCATAGGACTGTGTGTGACCTTCTGCTGGTGTAGCCTGGGTGACTGTGCTTTGGATGCTGTGAGACAGGATGCTGCTGTATTTGCCTTTGCAGGAGTGGTGCAGGGCATTGCCGGTTAGAATTGTTCCTATGAAGAAGACTGAATACTGTAGGGTTTGTTAACTTGGTACTTGAAACCATCCTTCCTTCAAGCCAGGTTAGAGTACCTATATTAAAAAGTTCAAGTATGGACAATAAAAGTCAGTAAGAATAAGTGAAAAAAAATGCAAGAGGAAAGCTGTGCACCCGTTCCTTGGGTAGATGCCGGAACACAACCTTCTTCCATACTGGTTCCCTAGACATTTGCCGTCTCTTGTGGCAAGAGACCGCGTTGACAGAAAAGAGCCTGTCAGCAAGGGGACGCACTTGCTTTTATACCTCAGAACCATTGCAGAAGTTGAATCAGACAGAAATTGTGCATTGCTTTTGGAACATTTGAGTCATGATACAATTACATTTTCCAGAAACAAAGTCTTAAGTGGTTTGAATGCACTTTGTCTGATCCATGACTGCACCACAGCCTGAGTCAGTTTTCATGGCTCTTTCACACAAAGGCCTGCACACCATCAGATGTTAACAATTGTCCTGTTTTGAGCTAAACTGAACCAATTGTGTTTAGTGAATTTACTTTTCTGAGATACTGCACTTTCTGAAGTCAGCAGCATGTTTTCGCAGACAGTGTCTGCTACTAGAAGTGATGATGCCTGATGTTCACAGTTACTGCCAGGGATTGGGATACAGAAGGACTCCTGCTTACACTTGCTCCTGTAGTGACCAAGGTCATGGCTGGATCTTGTGTGCCCCATGTCAGGTGCCGGGAATTAAAGGAGTCACAAGGAAATAAAATATGGCACCACTGGTAAGGAAAAGACAGGACAGGTGGGCAACAAGAGTATTCCCATTCCATATACATCATAATCTGTGTAAAACCGAGAGTTCACAGGATTTAAGCCCTCCTCTTCAATGGGCAACACCTGAGGAAGACTTTCTCTGTTCTTCTGCTTTTGATGCTCATCCTGAGTTCCCAAATCCAGCTCTTGTATCCAGCTCCCCTGTGTCACTGAGCCTGGGGCTTCCCTGATGCCACCAGCATCAGTGGGGATTGCTGCTGGGGGGCAGTTGGATTCCTTACTGGATTTGTATGTATTTGTACGTAGCTCGTCATTTTTATTGTTTCCTTATTAGTACTATTTTTGTTTTATTAAAGCTGTTTGAGTTTTCTTCTCCAATCCGTAAGTTTCTCTGCCTTATCCCCTTTCCTTTCCCAGTTGGGGAGGGAGAGGATTTAGAGACCGTCTGTCTGAGTTCAATGGCCAGCCCAGCCCTAACCGTTGCCAACAGTGTAGGTGTCAACATCTTCATATATCAATATATTTTTATATTATTATTTCAGATAATCTCCTTCACTATGAGATGACATGGAGGCATGTGTTTTTAATCAGCTGAATCCCAACCAAAGTTTTTAATGCTTATGACTTTTACAAGTTGTTGAATAAAGAAATCCCTTAATAAGTCAGAGAAGTTGGAAGGTATCATGTTGAGAAGACCTGTGTAGAGGTCTATTTGTAAGGCATAGTTTGAGAAAACAAAACAGCAAGGACTGGCGGTTGGAGGCTAATTCACCAGACATTGAGTAGTTTGGGAAATACTGTCTGTCTCAAAAGAGATTTAAAAAGAAACAAGCAATAGAGACATGATTATAAGACGGTTTAAGACAGTGTAACAAAGCCTGATCTTTGCTGAAGTGGTACAAGTCTGAAATAACTACAGTCCAAGAGCTAGGCTTTAGCAGATTTAACATATCTGAGGTTTAAACTCTTGACTCATGGCCCAACTGTTCTATAGTGGTTTGACTCCCTTAAAAATATATAGCGTCTGGCCATGTGTTCTTTATTTTGTGCTAGGCAATGTTGTTGTACATAACAGACATATTTGAAAGCTGATGAGATTCTAGATTTTTTGGTAGGCTTTGGGTCAGATCTTCTATATGTTTTTTGTTAGCAAAAGTTATCTAGATCCCACCAGGGGAAAAAGCAATCCTAGTGTCTTTTTAAGCACCATGTGGAACCCATAGATAGGCCTGACACAACCAGTCACCTGGAATTATTAGATGTTGTTTTTTGTCTTTAGTTTTGGTATCCAGCACGATGGAAAAGAGAATGACTGTGAGCCTCTTGGAAAGCGCCCATATATTATGTCCCGGCAGTTGCAGTATGATCCTACTCCTCTCACCTGGTCACAGTGCAGCAAGGAATACATCACACGTTTCCTAGAGTGAGTGATCAGGTTGTAGTGTTTCCCTGAAATGACTACAACTGTGTGAAGTGTTTATGTGGAGTTTGAAGTAAATCCTGTAGGGCATTACTAGATGTGGGGTTTTGTAATGCGCTTCAAGTAATTCCCATGGAGGGCGAGCTTTTTGCTCACTTACTGTTTGGGAAAAGCTCCATTATATTCTTGCTTTCTAGAAGTGAACTTAAGTTTTGTTATATCCACTCAGACGCGATGCAACCTGCAGATTTTGCAGTTATCAGGAAGAAAGAAGCCTTTCCATCAAGTAGTCTGATGGAACGTTATAAACCTTGCCTCTAGTCACAAAGACTTGTTCTTCACTTCAATTACTTATTCAAACTACTCATGTTCTTTTAAGAGCAGCAGTATGGTAGAACTTGAAGCAGAGGCTGTGATGTGCTCTAAAGCAACTGAAACCATAATGAGCTCCTATAGTTCCAATATGACAAGGTATATTTTGCCTTTGTGACCCTCCCCAACTAGGTGGAGTGCTCTTTGTTAGCAGTGGTTCATCATGTCTTAGCTGGAACCTGGAAGTACTGTTACCAAAGACCATATGAAAAATTAACATTAAGAATTAGATATTGAAAATTTGTATAGAAATGTCAAAAAAGTGTAGTTGTTGGTTTTTTATTTTAATATACAGTTTTTGTCTTTTAGCCGTGGATGGGGATTCTGTCTTGATGATATCCCTCAAAAGGAAGTTTTAAAGTCCCCAATCATTGCTCCTGGAGTCATTTATGATGTGCATCACCAGTGCCAGCTTCAGTATGGTTCCAATGCTACTTTCTGTGAAGATGTGGATGTAAGTGCTTATGTTTTCCTTCCTTTTGCTAATATGAACTTAAGCTTCTTGAACAGTGTGGAAGCAGTCTGCGAACCTCAGTTTCTAACTGCACATGCAACATGTTCAAAGTCTCATAGACTAAATGTGCAGTGCAGGCATTGCCTAACACCGTTTTAATTCCACTATGCAGATTCTAGAAGTGAGTTGTTGCACTGTTTGCCTTGCGTTTTGCAAGACCTTTACTGGCTCTGGCTCCAGATCTATTATCAAATGCCTGTCCTTCAGCAGTGGAGTCATTGATCTTAGATAAATTATCAAAAGCGTCTTAAATTCCATTAAAAATGAAGATGCTTCAAGCTTATAGCTTTCTCATTCTGGGAACAAACCTTCAGTTTCAGGAAGAGTTTTCTGAAGAAATCAGGCCATATGCCCTGGTTTTTTGCACTTGTGATGATCTAATTATAGGAAATTTCAGTCCCTATACTCCAAAGAAATTTTTTTTTCCCATCAAACATGAGATTTTTATGTGGAAACATATGATTTAGGAAGTACCCTGATGTCTGTCTTGCAGCACAACAAAACAGTGTTGTGTGGAGGTGCAAGGGAGCAGTATACTCACAGTAGCCTGACTCTCTACAAGAGCTAGGAGCCACTGCAGAGTAACAGGTTATGTTAGCTAAGGTGTGGTGGTATGATATTTTAACTGTACCTAGATATTCAGAGCTATTTGGCTTCGTGCAGCATTTTTGTATGTAGAGCAGTTCAGAAACAGTGATTTCAAGTACTAGTCTATTTAATCCCTAATTTTTACTGTGTTTTGGGCAACAATATACAGCAAACATTGCAGACAGCGCTCAGCTTGTTCCTGCTGTCAGAAGTGGCATTACGGCTATCAGCAGTGCTGGAGTGTTTTTTAGGTACAGTGCTCAGATGTGGATTGGTGACTCTTTATTCCATTCAGATAATTACATGTATCCTCATCTGCCCTTCTATTAGTGAGATTATTTTTGATTAATCTTCTCAGCCTTAATAGGTAACATGATTACCAATGTTGAGCTGCAACTACTGAATCTAAAGCAGGTATTGAAAGATTGTTTTCATTACCTGCTGCTCTAGTTTCCTCAGTTAGTGTAATTTGTCTGTTGGTACAGGCAGAAAATTAAAGTGTAATTTTGCAGTATTGATTCATTCTGTTTCTCCTTGGGTTTGAACCTAGTAGGTCTTTATATTCAACAGCTCCTTATTAACCAATTTTACAGCTAGATGTATGTCAGAAAATTAATTAGTAGCATCTTGTTTTGTATTTTACTGGAAGGCCTGTATTTTGCAGGTTGCTGCACTGGCAAAAAAAGGAATTACAAATAGTAGAGTCTGCCTGGTGTGTTGAATGATCAGTATAGTCATTTTGTCTAAGAGGTCTCACTGATGTTTGCCTTTCCACTATTTGCTTAACACTTACTCACTGACCAGGCTACATTTCTTCTGTGACTTTTAATGCTGGACTGAATTAAATCTACAGATTCTTTCTGAGAGAAGTATCTGCATTTAGCTGAAGATGCCCCAAGGTTCAGTAATTACATTTAGTGAAGACGGGAGCTTATAATTCACATAATGATTTCAGTGAGCCCGAATAAGTCCTCTAAGCGTCTTGTGAATCATAGAATCACAGAATCGTTTGAGCTGGAAAAGACCTTTAAGGTCATAAAGTCCAATGGCTGACCTAGCAATACCAGGTCCACCACTAAACCGTGTCTCTAGGCACCACATCTACACATCTTTTAAGATACGTCCATGGATGGTAGCTCCACCACTTCGCTAGGCAGCCTGTTCCAGTGCTTGACAACCCTTTTGGTGAAGAAACTTTTTCCAAATCCAATGTAAACCTCCCCTGTCATAACTTGAGACCATTTCCTCTTGTACTATTGCTTGTAACTTGGGAGAAGAGACTGACCCCCACCTCCCTACAACCTCCTTTCAGGTAGCTGTAGAGAGCTGTAAGGTCTCGCCTCAGTCTTCTCTTCTCCAGGCTAAACAGCCCGTTCCTTCAGCTGCTCTTCATAAGACTTGTGCTCTAAAACCTTCACCAGCTTTGTCGTCCTTCTTTGAGCATACTGCAGCACCCCAATGTCTTTCTTGGAGTGGGGGGCACAAAACTTAACATGGGATTCAAGGTGAGGCCTCACCAAAGCCGAGTACAGGGACATGATCAGCTCCCTGCTCCTGCTGACAGCCCCATTCCCGACACAGGCCAGGATGTCACCGGCCTTCTTGGCCACCTGGGCATACTGCTGGCTCCTGTTCAGCTGTTGTACACCAACACCTCCAGGTCCCTCTCTGCCTGGCAGCTCTCCAGCCACTCCTCCCCAGCCGGTAGTACTGCTGGGGGCTGTTGTGACCCAGGTGCAGGACCTGACTCTTGGTCTTGTTGAGCCTCAGCCTCAGCCCATCGCTCCAGCCTGTCCAGGTCCCTCTGTAGAGCTTTTCCTACCCTCAGGCAGATCAGTGCTCCCACCCAATTTGATGTCAACAGGTCAGTCTTATTTTCTGCCAGTTTGTCTTTTCACACATGGGGAAAGCCTATTCCTGTACCTGTAAATCTTTTTCGTGAAGAGTACCCAGCCTTCCTGAACTCCTTTGCCCTTCAGGACTGCCTCTGAAGGGACTCTGTCAACCGGGCTCCTAAAGAGGAGGAAGTCTCTGCTCCCAAAGTCCACTATAGCAGAGTTCTGATGATCCCCCTCCTTACTTCTCTGAGAATTGAAAACTAGTTTCATGATTGCTGTGCCCAAGACAGCCTTCAACCATTACATCACCCACAAGTTCACAGACAACAGGTCCAGCAGGTGCCTTCCCTAGTTGGCTAGGTTCCTACTTGAAGTATATAAATATTGTTTCTCCAGTAGGGAAAACAAAAGCAAAATGCAGATTAGGGGGAGAAATTTTCCAAGTGGTTTGTAGATATGTAGATTCCTATAGGACAAGCTGTAGGAGCTCTGAATCCTTATCTTATTGCCCTCTCTTTAACTCTAGAATTTCTACCAACTTTAGTGAAACTAGGTTGTTTTGGACTTGACATTCTTTAAGAACAGACCCTGATGTCGTGGATGGGGTGGACACTATATACCATATTGCTGATGATAAAAATCACTTGCTTTGCAATGTATACCTGGTAGAGCCACAAATTTCTGGGTGTTACCTCCAAAAGCAGACAGTAATTAGTGCTTTTTCATGTATTGTTCTTATTCCAGTACTCTTAAAGCTGAAAAAACTCTAGTACATGGAGATCAATATGGAAATATTATTGCAAAGCTAAAGAATTTCCTCTGAACTCTTTGACTTTGAAATCTGTGAGTGCACCTCATAAAATTGTAACTGTCGGTGGAAGGCTTTCGATGCCTTTCTCTGGTAGGTGAAGCACAGTACACGAGTGCACTTTAGACACTAAAAAGTACAAAACATTCTAAATACAAAAGTCAAGGTAAAGGATGAATTTCATAATGAAAGAAAATTTATCAGCTATAACGCTTGGGTAGCTCTGCCTTAAGAACCTGACAACACTGGCTTCACGAAGAGTTGTTAAGTACTGATGTTCCTGAACTATGTACAGGGAACTGCAAGACAGCCATTGGCTTGTATACATTGCCCCAAAGCAGCTAAATGAGCCGACACGCCTCAGATTCTGTATTCAAGCAAGAGATTTGGAGTTTTTTGGGATATTCTGTACTATCAACTACTATCAACATATATTCTTGTGTTCTAGAAGAAAAACAAGTTGAACACACAATGCAGAAGGTAAAGTAAAGGCAACTCTCTCAAAACAAACTGTGCCCAAGCTTAACTCTTTTAAACAGAGGCAGGTCAGAAACCAGCAGCCAAATTTTGCCTTTTGCATTCATGCTGCTGCCCGTTATTGGAGCTGGATTTTTGCAAGTGTACAGTTTCCGAGTTTGCTCCCAAACCTGGTATGTCACCTTCTCTGAGAATCCCAGTGGGAGCTGCTAGTGGGATCCTTCTTATTCCTCCTTTCATGACACAACCGTCCCTGCTTCAACAGTTTGGTGCTGCCAGCTCTGTTCCTTCTCCCAGTGCTGAACTCTGCAGCTCAAACAGGCTCAGCAAAAACCTGGCCCAGAGTCCCTCGGCTTTTGTTTCTGATGTTCCAGTTGAAGGTGCACAGACTCCTGGACGCCCCTGGTTTATCCAACTTGGAAGTGGTTTTCTACACAAAGCTGTGCTTGTTCAGGAGTTCCCAAGCATGCAGGGCTTCTGCATGTCACCCAAAAGATAAGCTGATGTGCATGTGGACTGAGGAGGGTAGAATAGCCCTCGATGTCTGTCCTCACTCCCCAAACAATAGTTCTGATTGAGTGAAGAAGGCTTGTTTTAAGGTATCTGTAATGTTTCTTGCCCTGCTAGCTTTGCGGACTCTCAGGAGTCTCTGTGGCTTCCATAGAGTTGACCACTGCACATGAAGCAGCAGCTGAAATACTGTGCTTCACTTGCAATGTGCTGTATTAAACTTCCACCAGTTTCTAATTAGCTTAAAATGCAAGCATTCACTAACCAGACCCCTTACTGTGCCACAAGGCCGTTTTATCTGCTAGCTAGCCTATGATCTTTTAGATCATTCCCTTGCTGCCTACTTGGCTGATGAGACCTCTGGTTTGATCTCTCCTCATACAGTTTTGAAACATCCATGAATTAAACTGGCTGTCGTACTTGGACACACGATACTATTTTTACTTATCTAGCTGGCTTCTCTAACCTTCTTTGAATTCACTGCATGTTTTCAGGCAGGCAACAATACTCAGTAAGTGAAAATAATACAAACTCTATTCAACTTCGCGAAAAAAAAAAGATACCTGAACTTTGTAAAGCCATTTTTCCTGGGTGTAGCTAGGAGCTGAGCAGACAATGAGGAGCATTTTTGAACTTGCATAGTTCAGGTGATTCACTTGATAGAAAATATTCACCATTTTATGTTTGTCAAGTAGTCCATCCTTGTACACTAATGAGGAGTACCTAAATTTGGACCCTTAGTGGGTCCTAACTTGTGAAAAACTCTCAACATCTGCCCCTGTAAATACATCGTTTATAAAACCGTGTAAGTGGAAGTACAAAACTGTGGGATGCTTTTGAAAATCTTGGCCACCGGTGTTCAGCTCTGCTTCACACTGCTGCAATTTTCTTTCTTTTCCAGAACCTTTGCCAGACACTCTGGTGCTCGGTGAGAGGATCCTGCCGTTCCAAACTGGATGCAGCAGCAGATGGAACTCAATGCGGAGAAAACAAGGTGAGTGTGACCCTTGCTGCCTGCAAGCTGCGCTGCCTGTGGAAGGGCAGCACAGGAACTGTGAGTAGCTCTGTCGTTGTTCAGTATGAAAAAGGGGCATCCTGTGACATCTCCATTTATGTTTCCACTCAAGTTTTCAAGCTTCAGGGGCTAAAATAACAAATAATTCACAGTAACATTTTCCTACAAGAATGATTTTAAGCTGTTTGTCCTTTCTCTTCTCTCCTCAGTGGTGCTTCTCTGGTGAGTGCATTACAGTAGGCAAGACTCCTGAGGCAATCCATGGTGGATGGGGTGTTTGGTCATCCTGGTCCCACTGCACAAGAACATGTGGGGCAGGAGTTCAGAGCGCGGAGAGACCATGTGATAACCCAGAGTAAGCTGAACACACAATTTTTTCCTACCTTTTATTCAATATCTTTGAGGTACCGGAAACAATTTTGTATGAGACTGTTATCAGGAGGTGACACAGCAAGTCAGAGGCTGAATACTGCCCCTTCCCAGTTAAGCATACCTGTGTGAAATTCTGTTCAAGCATCATCTTATTATTTAATCCTTACCTTGCATGGAACTTACTTCTACACAAAATGAAAAAATCTTGCTATTTGGCATTCAGGCTTTACAGAAATAGTAGAAATGTTGCTTTAGTAATACCTCAGTGAACAAATAAATATCATTAAACACTAGGTGAGAACAACAGCTAGCAATCTGTTCCTGAGGGAAGTCAGGAATTACCTTTCATGTTTTGTTCCAGTCATCTGGCTTTTATGGAAGAGCTGTCAAACATTCTGGAAAGTACAGTGTTTTGAGGGAATTCATCTGATAAGGTAATTTGCCGTGAGCTTAGCTGGGCAGTGTACCAAGCACTTCTTCAGGATGCAAAGTTTGTCTAGACCTGTGTGCTCCATACTGTCATATTTGGGTGCTTGGACATGTGTGTGGTATCTCTACCCTGTCAAGGATTCAGTTTCAACCTTGTTATCCCACTGGAACCCGAAAGACATTGCTCTTTTGAAACTGCTTTTTTACCCAGATTCTCAAGTCCCGATCTCTATTTTCCTTCTCTAGACCACAATTTGGAGGAGACTACTGCACTGGAGAAAGGAAGCGCTATCGCATGTGTAACATTAGCCCCTGTCGCAAAGGCTTGCCAACCTTTCGTCAGATGCAGTGCAGTGAATTTGATACAGTTCCCTACCAGAATGAGTTCTACCACTGGGTTCCTGTTTACAATACAGGTACGAAGCTACAAATTTTTTAATATCTTGTATTGAAAGTCTAATTTACAGACCTATGAGAAGCCTCTGTCAGGGCAAGAAGTCAGTGAATTGTAAGTATGCCCTGCATTGCAGACGTAGACATTGATGCCTCTGCTTTAAAAACTTGCTTTGTAACAATTTAGTTACTAAATACAGGGGTAACAGTTACCACAGTGCAGTTTCATTCTTGCTGTCTGCATAAATTTAAGGTGTAGATCATCCAGCAATATATTTTTTTATGAAAAGGTAAGCCAGTTAAGGAAGTTAAGGTCAAGATTCAACTTTCAGTTTCATTTCCCAGTAGTATTTTTTAGCACGTTCATTGCATTTTCACAGTTATTGACAGCTCTGAATAGATTTCCTAAATTTCAGCTACAGTTTCAATTTCATCTAACAAATACACTGCTGAAGATGAACCTGCAGCAGACAGACTTCCAGGAAAATTTCTGGTGAAAGAAAACATGATTGATAGAAAAACACTTTTTCAGAAAGTCTTCCAGTAAAACAAACCTAAGACAGTCCACAGCTCAACTCATAAACCATTCATAAACCATTTTTGCAGTTGCATACGACTGAAACTGGGATTCCATTCCTCTCTGTTACTTGTGTGTACCATTGCAGAGAACAGTCTTGATTCTGTTCATATCCTCTCCAGGCCAGTGCTACAGAACTGGTGGTACTACATGTGCATTTGTTGCAGAAGGTCTACTTTTAAAGGACATTAAGAATCATGAATCAAATGCTTCCTGCACACTGGAAGGAAAGCCTATGTCTTGTCCATGCCATATTTCAAATAGAGCTAACTGCAGCTTTTGAGACAAACCACTTATTTTCAAAATGCTATGTTGTTGAGCCTGATATATTTCACCGGGAACATCCCGGGTTTCAGTGACCTTTTACAAAGTCGTTCAAATACCAAGCAAATATATTTTCTATGGCTTAAAAAGCGTTTTGACAGTTTTCACCTGTTCAGCAGCCAGAATTTCAATCTAGAGTCACACAATCTGTGAGGTCCTTAGTGTTTACAACTTCACTCTTACATTCTGTTAACAGCATTTCAGATGTTTTCTTCCTGCTAAACCCTTAACTTACAAAAATCAAGTAGCCAAACTCTCCTGAGAACACTCACCCAAGCAGCGAGTTGGCCAAATTCTCTGCTGATCCTTCATATGGCATCATCATTGTATGATTGAGGATGAGTGGCTGTCACGGACACAGTGATTCCAGTTTTGTCCAGCCAGCATTACCTGCTGCTCTGAAATACATCTGAGAGTTTTCCTTCCATCGTGGTTTCAAATTTTCTTTTACTTTCCATTGGTTGTCAAAGGTGTCCTGGGCAGAATAACTTCAAACATGAAACAGTGCTCTCTGTGTAAGATGAGCAGTCTGAGCATTTCCTGTGAGAGTTTGCCCTAAACCAAGTATTTAAACAAAAGCAAAACAACAGCCACTGGTAAACCCTCTCACCACACCAAAAAAGCTGATGTTTCAGGGATCTGGAGACTTAATCACCACGTTGACTATGTCTATACCAGCCTTTGTCAGTGTATACCAACTTCCCTTAATTTTCGCCTTAACTGATGCAATCCTATTTCAAAGACTTTTCTATTACTGCTATTTTCTATTACTACTTCAGCTTACTTTCAGGAAGGTTTTAGTTTTTGTGATGGGTTGACCCTGGCTGAAGGCTAGGTGCTGACCAAAGTGAGTCGCCTCCTCAACAGGGTGGAGGAGAGATAATGTAACAAAAGGCTCATGGGTCAAGATAAGTACAGGAAGAGATCACTCAGCAATTACAGTCACAGGTAAAACAGACTTGACTTGGGGAAAATTATTTTAATTTATTACTAATTAAGTCAGAGAAGGTTAATGAGAAATAAAAACTAAATCTTAAAACACCTTCCCCCACCTGTCCTTTCTTACCAGGTTAACTTTACTCCCAAATTCTCTACCTTCCTGCCCTCCAGCAGCACAGGGGGATGAGGAATGGGGCTTGTGGTCAGCTCCTGACACACTGTCTCTGCTGCTCCTTCCTTCTCAGGGGAAGGACTCCTCACACTCTTCACCTGCTCCAGTGTGGGCTCGTCCCTCCACAGGTCCTGCCAGGAGCCTGCTGCCGCGCCGCCTTGCTCTTTCAGACAGCAAAGATCTTTCAGACATCCAGCTGCTCTGGTGTGGGGTCCTCCATGGGCTGCAGGGGGACATCTTCTCCATCACAGACCTCCATAGGCTGCAGGGGGACAGCCTGCCTCACCATGGTCTTCATCTCAGGATGCAGGGAAATCTCTGCCCTGGCACCTGGAGCACCTCTTCCCCCTCCTTGTTCACTGACCTTGGTGTTTGCAAAGTTGTTTCTCTCGCATAGTCTCACTTCTCTCTCCAGCTGCAATTGTTGTGCAGCATTTTTTTCTGCTTCTTATTAAACATGTTATCCCAGAGGTGCTACCGCTGTCGCTGCTGGACTCAGCTTTGCTCAGCAGTGGTTCCATCTTGGCTGGCCTTGGCTCTCTCGGACATGGGGGAAGTTCTGGTAGCTTCTCACAGAACATGCCCCTGTAGACCCCCTGCTACCAAAACCTGGCCATGCAACCCCTATACAGCTTGTGTTTTATTATCAGACATTTTAAGTCCTCTTGCATGAGGGATATAAGGGGAAAAGAAAATAATCATGAAACTTTTCTAAACCCTGAGTGCCCATAACAAGTTGTTTTGTGGAAGCTTCTAGTTGTGTAGATGAAACTGTGAGCTAGGCATTTTGTGACATTTTAGACGTTCTACATTCTTCATCCTCTTGGAAAAACAGTAAATCATCTAGATGGTCACAGTTCTCTCTCCTGACTTTAATTTCGTAGTTTGCCTCAGTCAGTTCTAATGAATGTTACATACTTAAACACTGTCATAATGTCTTTTTCTGTTGTGTGAATTGTACCTTCACAAAAGCATAAAGACTATTTTTTAATTGCTTGTCATTAAATATAAGTTGAGATGCAACAAGCTACTTTAACAAGCAACCTGGCAGAAAAAACAGTGAATGACTTCTTGCTGTTACCTAGGCTAACTATATTTAAGGTTTTAGCTGGACTTTTTCCCCTCTGTTTTATATTATTTTGGGTGCGATGGTGAAACTTGCATGGTCCTATTGTGGATTTGTCATCTAGCACAGAAACTGATGTACTCAAGGTAGAGTCCTAAAATGGAAGAGACTTCCAAGGCCAAGGGTGTCTAAAGTATCCAGCAGCTCTGACCAGGGTATCTTCTGAATTGTTCTCATGGACCAGGCCCCTACTTTGACCTGTGTTAGTCAGATGTTGGTGCTAATGTGCTCTTGCCATCAGACTGACACCAACATTTATTTATTTTATATTGTTTGATAAATTACATTTATTGGAATCTGATAGCTTCTCAGGGCCTAATTTTCATGTAGTAAGTATGAATGCTACATTGAAACATATAAATACTTTTCTCAAATCAGTGCCAGGAGATAGGAGTTACATTGCTAAAGTGTTATAAATTTCGTATTTCTTCCAAAACATGTGTGTATGTCAAGGAAGATCTGTACTGATACAGTTGCAGGGGCTGAACTAACAGCATGAGATAATAATTCTGCTCCAACTGCTATGAAATTAAATTTTTTTTTAGAGTTCCAAGCTTGGGTAGAGTGATAAAGTAGCTTCATCTTAGCTTTTTCCCCCATTTTATCTGTGTTGGGTAATTGTCTTCTCTAATTTTTTGTTTGTTTCCTCAATCAATTTTGAGTTCTCACCTCAGTGAGGATTGAAAGAGAAGAGGCCTGCCTCTTTAATTCCTTGTGAAGTAGGAAAAAATGTTGAAGCCTTATCTTCTGCTGGCAGACACATTAATCACATCCTTCTCAGTCAGGTTAAGCTGAATCCTTCCTGCATGTGAACTCGTGGGAGTCAGCTGCAAGGAAAACAAATTTAAACTGGGAAGGGCATATGTTCCTTTCTAGTTATCTTCATGTTGTTCTGTTTGCATTTGATGAGTCATAACTCTGTTATACACAGGGGAAGAACATCACGTACCTGAATTTTAGCGTTTTTACTCAGCTTTGCTGGCTTGCTTCCTCAGTCCCATTCCGCTTACAGATGAGTCACTTAGGGACTTACGAGAGCTCAGTGGCTTGGCATTCCATTACATCTGGGTTTCTTCTACATGTGAGGATTGGTCTCGTCTCTATTCAAATCAGCAGCATAATCTTGGTGCAGGATATGGGCACTACAGATAAAAAACAGATTGTATTTTTTCTAGACTGCTGAATGTTGGTGGCACCTCAGCTAAAATCTTATGTCCTTCTAGGAACAAAACAGTGCCAGAAGGATGCAGCCAGACTGGAGGAGGTTTACCGGAGAGCAACATGGAAGTCAAATTACTTGAAAAACATAGTTTATGGGAAAGATTGAGAAAAGCAAATTGTGCTCTAGAAAAGAGACGATGGAGTGATTTAAATGCCAACAACTTTCTAAGCGTATTCAGTTTGCATGTCCCTGAGCTAGTAGAGATAGAGGCTATCAAGACTGAATGGCTCCATAGTGTTGTGCTCAGGTCTGGAAGAAGCTGTTGGGATCCAAGCAGCTCAGTGCCCTTAGTAACTGACTTGGAAAAGCAGGACTCTGTGGTCTTATTGGCTCAGTTTGAGTTTAGCTCTTTGGCTTTCAAAAATTGGATTTGGCATCAAATTTTCTGTCACTGCATTCCATACTGTAGCTTCCCATCCCATCCACTTGAGCAGTACAGGAATCTCCAGGGAGAGATGGATCCAGCAGCTTTTCATGTCCGTGAAAGGTAGAACAAGCAGAAACAGCCAAAACAACACAGGCAAACTTCAGGTTGCACATTAAGAAATCTTTGTTGCTGTATGGGTGCTAAACATTACAGCAGGTTGCGTACAAGGTTTGAGGAATTAATATTAGCATTGCAGATAGAAATGCAATCTAAGCAGGAGCAGTCCAAATGACTTTGATCCTGCATTGGTGTGAACAGTTGGGTAAAACCCTGTAGACTTTACACAGACGGAAGTCAGCTCTGTCAGAAGTCAGCTCTGTTTAAATGGGAATTTGTTGTGCTTTCTCTGAACAAGGCTTGTGTGAACATGGCCATTGCTGAGTGTTCACAGATGGGATCTAGTATTCCATACATGTGCTGGATTTCAAGAATTTCTTTATGTTTTGACCTTAAGATGACAGCCATTTTCTTAAAGTGTCATCATGAATTTATCAAATTTGCTGAAGTAACTGAAGCTAAAGCAGCTGCTTTAAGGGAGTTTCTTCTGAGCAGCCCTAGTGCACATGTTGTTGTCAATTTAGTCTTTTTAGATTTTCAGAACTGGATTAAGGTTTAGAAAATGTGAATTCAATGTCAGCCTTTGCTTTCAGGTTCTTCCGTCATTTCAGGAAATGTATTTGTTTTCCTGGTGTATCAGTCACTATCTGAAAATATGAGATCAAAGTACCTTCTACATCTGTATCTGTTTCATGTTTAAAATGTTAGACTTTTGAGGATAGTAGCTGATTCTGGTACAGTTTATTTGCAGTCCTAGAATAGTGGAGCACAGTTCTTTTGTCAGGTCCCTGAACACAGCTGTAAAAAAACCCCAGAGCAATAGATAAGGAAATAATTTTAGAAAATGAATGGCTAATACAGTGCTAGGATAATTTCCTCAATGGTGCCCTAACCAGCCCTCTATGCAGATGAAATATCAAAATAACATGAAGAGTGATAGCAGGAGTATAAATATTGGATAGGAAAAGAGTTTTTAGGGAGGGAGCAATATACCCTCATTTCCAGTAGGGCAAAAGTAATATAAAATTAGTGGATGCAGGTAGGATCCAATTTTAGATCAGTTACTTCAGTTAGGAAAGCCAGGAACGCTTTCATGCCTAGAAAGCTCTTTGAATTATGAAGCTCTGCAAGTCTGAAAGTTTGCTTGTTATTTATTTTTATTTTTTATTTTGGCTTAATAAGACAGTTATCTTTCTCTACAAACTTCTGAGTTACAAACGTAGAGCATCGTAGTTATGCAGGAATATGTCAGCAGTCAGCACTGCCTGCTTTTTCTTGGTCAGTGATTGAAGTTGGATGCCATCTTGCTTGCTATGTCAACACGCAGATAGGGAGGAGGTACGGATACCAAGCTGCTGTTCTGCATATGTCATTACAAAAAATATAAAAGCCAAAATGACTTTCTGCAAAGTTTGTGTCTGCCAGGATTGATTCTGAGTGGGTACCAGACTATCTGGAATTCTGGGATTCTGTTTTGGTGTCCCATGAGGGTACCATGCTTTGTGTTTAGAAAATAGTGCATTGGTAAGGTGAGCAAGGTGAAACAAAATTTAGAGTGCTAAAGTAATCAAATTAGCTACAAGGCCAGAAAAACACTTCTGAAGATAGAAGTAAAATGAACTGTTATCACTTAATCATGACAGCTCTTATGAGATCAACTGATGGGTGTTATACCTGGCAGTTTTCACAGCAGGGCTGAGGGCTCCTGAGGGTCATAAACTGTGTTCTTACCGGAGGCTCTTGTAGCTCCATCTCCACTGATGTTCTTAAACATGAGTGACATCACCTTGAATTCCACCAGTTTTATAATATTGGTCCGTGTGTGTCCTCTGCTTCTAATCAGTCTGTTGTCCTTTATGAAGGTATCTTTGAGAAGCCACAAGCACAACATTGTTATGAGTCCTAAGATGCCATTTGAGCCCTACTGGCGAGGGAAAACACGAAACTCTTCATTAAGGTCTTGATTTTGTTTAGTGTCCCGTTGTTTATTTTTTGGATTCCAGTTCTGAAGAGATCCCATTTACATGAATGAGATTGATAGTTTTAAAACTCAGGCTGTGTATGATTCAGTCCTTAAGCTGAAAGTACTTGGGGACCAGGAGTTGCTGTGCTCTACATGGTGTTGGGTGTATGCTGGTGTTGTACCAGAGCAGTGAGAGCAAATTTCTCCCTTCAGAAGAATAAACTCTATTGCAGGAAATTATTCAGTTTCTTTTCATTACCCAAAGGTTGACTTTCTCTCTTTACTGGAAGTTCCTCTAATTTTAAACACAGTTTTTTGTATGACACAAGTCACATCGAAAAGGAGAAGGAAGAAGGAGAAAGAAATTAATTAGCCCAGATGTACAAGATTTATAAACTCTGCATCCCTCTGAGGCGAAAGCAGCAAGTTTTTTTGGCTCTGTCACTCAGCAGAGTCACCTCTGCAGCACACAATGGCATTGTATTAAAATGGCTTAATAATGGTGCCTTGAAGTCTTTACTGACAGATGGTTTTAAGGCCAACTGCTTTACTTGCAAAGTATTTCAGCTTCCTAAGCATGAACTAATTTCTTTAGCACCTGGCTACACTGAGGTTTTGGAATAGGGCAAAACCCAGAATCATAGAATTACTAAGGCTGGAAAGAGAGCCTCTAAGATTATCAAGTCCAACAGTCCGCACTACCATGACCAGTGAACCATGTCTTGAAGTGCCATGTCTACAGATTTTTTGAAGATCTCCAAGGATTGCCTGATGTAGTTGAGAGGCGTCCCTCCCCGTGACAATGAGGTTGGATTAGATGATCTCCAAGGTCCCTTCCAGCCCAGGCCATTCTATGATTCTGTGATTCTGTGATGGCGACTCCACCACTTCCTTGGGCAGCCTAGTCCAATGCCTCACGATTATTTCAGTAAAGAAATTTTTCCTAGTATCCAATCTAGACCTCCCCTGATGCAACTTCAGCCCATTTCCTCTTGTCCTATCATTTGTTACTTGGGAGAAGAGACCAACGCCCACCTCCCTACAACCTCCTTTCAGGTAGTTGTAGAGAGCGGTAAGGTCTCCCCTCAGCCTCCTCTTCTCCAGGCTAAACAGCCCCAGATCCCTGAGCCACTCCTCGTAAGACTTGTTCTCCAAACCCCTCACCGGTTTTGTTGCTCTTCTCTGTACCTGCTCCAGCATCTCAATTTTTTTCTTGTACTGTGATGCCCAAAACTGAACACAGGATTCGAGATGCATCCTCACCAGTGCCCAGTCACTTCCCTGCTCCTGCTGAGCACACTGTTTTAAATAGAGGCCAGGATGCTGTTGGGCTTGGCCACCTGAGGACACTGCTGTCACCTGTTGACCAGCACCCACAGAACCTTTTCCACCAGGCAGCTTTCCTACCACTCCTCCCTAAGCCTGTAGCGCTGCCTGGGGGTGTTGAGACCAAAGTATAGGAATCAGCACTTGGCCTTTTAAACCTCATACACTTGGCCTCAGCCCATCAGTCTAACCAGTTCAGTCTAATCCCCTTGCAAGGCCTTCCTACTCTCAAGCAAATCAACTCTTCCACTCAATTTGGTGTCTTCTACAAACTTAGTGAGGATACACTGAACTCCCTCATCCAGATCATTGAGAAATTGAACAAGACTGGCCCCAAAACTGAGCCTTGGGGAACACCATTCGTAACCGCCCACCAACTGGATTTAACTCCGTTCAGCACCACTCTGTGGGCTTGCCCGTCCAGCCAGTTTTTAACCCAGCAAAGGATACACCTGTCTAAGCTGTGAGCCACCAGCTTCTCTAGCAGAATGCTGTGAGAGATGGTGGCAAAGGCTTTACTGAAGTCCAGCTGGACAACATCCACAACCTTTCCCTCATCCACTAGGTAGGTCACCTGGTCATGGAAGGAGATCAGGTTGGTCAAGCAGGACCTGCTTTTCATGAACCCATGCTGGCTGGGCCTGATCACCTGGCTGAGCTGCAGAAGATAGGTCCTCTGCTGTCCCTCATCAATATAACAATGGGTGATTTTTTTTTTTTCCTGTCAGATAGCTTTGGCTCTGCTGCAGGGTTTCCAGAAAGTGGTATAAGGGCAGGGATTATACCTGTCTTTGCTTTGACCCTGGCTTCATTTTGAACTCATATTCCTTGTATGCAACTTGTTTATCAAATTTGTGTTCTTTGTCTCTCTAAAGCCTCAGTTTCAAAATTTTCCATTCCCAAGGGATAGTATTTGTGAGGCAGGGCAATGTGTGTTTGGTCTTCTTAGTCCATGGGTGGAATAGACTAAGGCTGGTCTGTGGCAGAAGATGTTGTTTCAGAGACCCCCCAGATTGCTTTTGCTACAACTTTTCTCTTCCCTTTTGCTTCTGTGCATGTCTATCCAAGAACAGACCCACCAATATTATCCCCATTATATAAGTTGCCAAGTAGGAAGAAAATCCCTTATTTGAAATAAATTATTAAGCACCAGCAGATCACTGAAAATAAGCAATGATGTGACACTCGTGACATGCAGAGTATCAGAAGCAATGATTTGACTGCTCTCTGAGAGAGGCTGGCAGTGATGAGCGGTTATAAATTATCTCTGTAATCACTCTAGTCATCAGCTGATGGAAAACTATTGCTAGTCAGTGTCCTTGGCAATCTCACCCCCAGATTCATCCTTTCCACTTACTAATGACAGTTGCTTTTTCTCGTTTCCCAGCCTTTTCTCCATCACAGCTGACAGCCTCATTACTGCTTGACTCGGCCAACTGGCTGTTAAGGTACCAGTGAGGGGGAGCATGGAGGAGTGAGGGCATCAGCCTCCAGCTGGTTCCTGGAGGTTCACAAGTGGTATTTATTGGGCCTGTGTCACTCTGTTAGCAAGACAACCGTGGCTCTACTAACTGCTTCTAATAACACTATTTCTGTCAAATTCCAGGAGTGAGTGGATGGTGCAGTAATGACATAGAATTGTCAGGGTTGGAAGGGACCGTAAAGATCATATAGACGTACTGTCATTCCCTCTGCACTG